CCCCAACCCTTAGCGCCCAGCTGCCTGCTAGGCGCCCCCTGCAGCCAGTCTGGCTCGGACCTAAGCCGGGCGCACATCTCACCGCCGTCGCCCTCCTGGAACCCGCCCAGGCCAGAGAGGTGCTGCTTCGGGAAGTGAGGACACCCTGGTGAGGAGGAGGCTCCTTCCAGGTCCGGGGCGTGCTTGCTGTCTTTAGAGCTCACCAGGGGTGGTTGGTTTTTAAATCTGTCTTTTGATCAGATGGAATGTATTTAAAGATTTGCTCCGAAGGGTGTTTAAAAATAGTTGAATAGCACAGCTTCCCAGAGTGTCAACAGGACAGCGTCAGAGGACAGGCTGTCCCACCCCCGCCAAGTCTCCAGAATAAGAAACAGGCTGAGGAGAAAAGGAAATTATCCGGGCAGTAGCTCCAAACCATGAGTTTCTTCAAGGCTGTGTCTTCTTCATCCCCAGCTCCTGACCCATACAGCCTGGAAAACTACTGGGACGATCATGGAGGGAGAATGCACTTGGTTCTCTGTACCCATTTCACAGACAGACTCAAGCCAGAATACCTGCTTCAGTGCAGTGTTTAAAAGGAGTTACTCTATGCCATGGCCATCAATAATAACGAAGAGCTACATTAAGTCACCAGGTTATACTTTTAGGATTATGCATTGCTGGAAGAGCAGTTAATTACAGGAGAATTAATATTGCAAGTAGGAAAACCATAGGTCCTGACTTTGGACTGAGAAGTAAAGGGAAATACAGTTCTATTCATGGAAGACAGGAAGAGAACGATTGAACTGCCTGTGGTTATATCAGACTCCTGTGGCTGACCTATCTTTGTCCTCCAGCTTGGCTGAGGTAACCAGCTGCATACAGGTGTAACCCAAGAGCACCTTGTCTCAGCTGCACCCCCTATCTTCTTTGCCTCAGGGCTTCTCTCTCACTGCAGCCTGGGACCCCTGCAAAGAACAAACACCTCATGGGACCAACTTTGACCAAGGCAGGCAGGGGCTGGGGGAGAAATAGTCCACCCTTCCGTTCTAGTGGGCGATTCCAAGATACATTCTATATAGCTCCTAAGATGATGGAGCCCCAGTTGCCCATGGTAGTGCCCAACTCGATCAACTCAATAATGCACCCTTGGATTGCCTTTCTCTTTCCCTCTTTGCTTGTTTGACTCTTTAGAGTCCATCACTCCTGTTCCTTGGGATTCATTCTCCTACCTGTATACAAGTCCTTGTTCAGGCTCTGTTTGGGGGAACCCAGATTAAGCCATTAGTTAACTCAAAAGAGGCATCTCAGTCCACCTTCCGGGCCTCATTCTCACCAAATCAATTCTGCTAACAAGGAATTTATTTGTTCAGTTTGAGCTTTTGCTCCTTTTCTTTCTCCGTTGCCCTGCCCTCCAGAGCATCACTAATAAGCTCTCTGAGACAGGCAAAATCCCCTTGGGAGATCCCCCTGCCCAAAGGGTTACAGTGTTTGCTCCCATTCCTGTATCAGCATCATACTCTCCCAGGAGAGAGGGCCAGCTGAAGGGCTGGACTGGGTGAGAGTCTCACAAAGCCATTCTCAGCCCCACCTTAAACCTCTCCACCCCTTTCAATGCCCTGGCTGCTCACTTTGAAAATGGGAAACCAGTTCTGGGATTGAACGTGGAAGCAGAAACAGTGTGGGACCCAGATGCCTCCCAACATGGCCCATGCCAAGATTTTGTCTCCTCCTTAGCCCTTTCCTTCCCCCCTTCCCCATTGCACCACAAAAACAATTTCTCTGCCTGGATAAGAGGTCTCAGGCCAGGGTCTTAGGTACTTAGCACATTTTCATCTCATTTCAACACTAAGAAGGTGGTGTTGAATTTTCACCAAGCTAGGTTTGGTAGAGAAAGAGCCCTCACTCCCTGCCTTCAAAGAGGGAAATGGATATGTACATAAGCTAATGAATTGTTAGAAGTCTCCTGTAAGTCTTCTGAAAAGGGGGGTTTTGACAGGGGTTCAGGACAGGCTTTGTAAAGTGGTAGCATCCCAAAAGACTCAGTTGGAATGTAGTGCCTTCAGAAGATCCCCCTGCCCAGAGAGCCACATTGTTTGCTCCTGTCCCTGTATCTGCTCCTAATTGCCTCCTAGCACACCACCTTCTTGAGTCCCAGCTCAAGCTAGTCTTTGCCTTGTCTTCCTAGGCCCCATCTCTCCCATGCTAGATCTGGCCCCGCCCCATTTCTGAATGTCCCTGGTCTTCTCCCCACTCAGTGTTAAGCATTGAATGCCAGATGGAACAGGGAAATCCTGCCGAGAGCCAGCCACCTCGAAGCCCTCCAGGAGCCCACCCAACTGTGCAATGCTGAGTTCTGCTGAGGAATAGAGAATAATAACACCATCTACTTCTATACCAAACCCACAGGTTTTCTGCTTTTCTTGATGCAATTGAGTTTTCTTAAAAAAAAAAAATGGAAGGGGGGGGGCAAGAAATCTTACTCTTAACCTGCAGAATTTTAGAAGTATCAAATGGCTTTTTCTATAATTGACAGTGAAGGAAAGAAAAGGCCCAGTGCATTATTCTAAAACAGCTGTGGTGCTCAGAATCGAGTGTGCTGAAAATAGCCCATGATCTTCACATGACTCTAATACTGAATTCTACCAATATGAGAACTGGAGGCCCAATGTTTTCCCTGGAGTGAATGAGTAAGGAAAACCAGTGTTGGGACCTTAAGGGAAAAAGAGGAGCTATATCAGCATCTGCATCCCCACCGCCTTTCTGTCTCTTGACTTAGAGATTTACTTAAAATGTTTTCAGTCACAAAGTTGGGGGTCATAGACTAGAAATTTAAGCAAAGTTCTTTTGAGGTAATTGGGATCTTTAAAGAGGGGAGAATATAGGGAGGTAAAAAAACAAAACAAAACAAAACAAAAAAACACACAACTGCGTCCCCATCACTGTTCATACCACCCCAAACTACAGCAACCCATAAGACGTTCTTCCTTCCTTCAGTGGACACGGATTGAGCCTTTATTCTATGCCAGGCATTGGGCTTTGTTCTGGAAAGCCATGCTATCCCAGTACAGGTTCCTGTCTTCAGTAACACAACCTGGCAGTTAGTGACGGGCTGCTGTGCACCTGACACGAGGCCAGGTGCCTTGTGTGCATTATTTCACTTAGTCTCTGCAACAGTCCTAAAAGCAGCCCAAGACTATCTCCATTTTGCAGCTGAGGACATTGAGGCTTTGAGGGCTTGAATAAGTAGCCCATAGCAACACAGCTGGGACGTGGCAGAGACAGGTCAACCCAAGTCTGTCCCACTACTAAGACGTTTTTAAGCACACCACCAATTGTCCTACGGTTCTTGCTTTGAAAGACAAGCATGACGGTCCACATTTACAAGGCTATTTGGAATACAGAATTTTGGTAACAAGTTGGGCTTTGTTTCTGTGAGTGATCCAACAGAGGTTGGAATTACTTAGAAATTACATGGAAACTTCTTTCAATGAGGACAATACAGGTGCCATGATCTGATGCCCTCAATAGAAAAAGTAATTATAGGTTCTAATTGGTCAGACAAACTTTGAAAGACAAAAATACGGGACAAGATTCTTAACCCCTAAATCTGATTTCATATTCTGAACTTCAAATTCTATTTCAAAGAATATGGAATATGTTATAATAAACTTTTAAAAACCAGGATACAAAGCTATATGCTTATCTAATATATTTTCAATATTTTTCCAATGAATGAATATTATTTATATTTTCTGATTATTCTACCAGGAACAGAGCCTGCTGTTTCAAAGGGAAATTGAATTGCAAAGCTGCTGCCTCTTGTTTTGGGTTGCCAGCACCTCTTCCCAAAGGGCCATTTGCTCCTCACCAACCCCGTCCTCTCACACCAGGCTCTTTCCAAGACTACTGCTGCGAGTTCTCACATTCAGCATTCTCTTACCTTGGCGGGCTGTAGCAAGGCTCCCTCAGCACGCTCAGCACGCAGGATCCTCTCAGGCAAGTTGCAAGCCAGATACACCTGGAATCTTCTTAATTCTCAGTTAATAGGGGGTAAAAAGACACCCCAGGAGACCTCCCCCAGGCTTTATGTGTATTATTTCAATGCTTGTCTTTAGCTGGGAAGGGAAATTCTCACACTCATGCTAACCAAAGCCAACTAATGATACAATACAATATTCGGAGCTCTGAATGTTTGTGTGTTTGTCACTGAGGCAAAGTTCAGCTTTGTAACTATTTGTTTTAAGTTTAAAATGTCTATGAATTTGGCCCTCTGACAAGCAGAGGGTCAAAGGCAGGTGCCACTACTTGGGGACACATAAGAAAAAATGATGCCAAAGGGCAGCTCCAGCCAATTCCATCTGGAGCTCTCCCTGCCAGGTATGTGTGGGCATAAACGAGCACAGGAACTGACCTGAACAAAATGAGAGTGTCCTGACTTCACATCACAGTATTTAAATTGTTGGATATCAAGGAGAAAAGTAACCACCACAAGGACTTTGTCTCCCCTTCTGGGGAAAGGATTAGTCCCTTGGTTAGGCCACAGGGCCCAGATATTCAGTCAAACATAATGCAGAATCAGGACCTGAGAAAAATTTCAAAATGGCCAGCAACTTTGGACCGGCTCAGCTGCAAGAAGATGGGGCCAAATCATGCCCCTTGAATGTCACAGTGGCGGTAAGGGGAAGTATATCTGGAATACAG